CTTTGGCAGTTCATGTGGGTTCTGAACTATATGCTTGTGCAGGGTATGGTCTTTTTTTAAAAAAAACCTTTAGCAGCTATTTAGTACAGTTTTAGTTTCAGCCTACCAAAATACTGGTTACTTTGCTGTCTCAGAGGGCAGTACTGAGAATTGTCACCTGATAAGATTGCTGATACCGAAGTTCATAACATTCAGTATGATGTCTTTGGCAAATATTATTCAAAACCACAGTAAGTTCAGAAAACTTTACGTAGAAAGAACTCCTTTCTTTGAATCTTCCTGTGCTGTTCCTGCCTCAGCCTGTTACAGGCCTTGAGAGACCACTTTGTCTCATTCTGTTGGCATAATTAGCCACACTTTCACCTGAGCTGCTGTATTATGAGAGGGGGCTCAAATCTTGACCTTATTTTCTTTTATCATATGAAGATGTGAATTGGCATTTGGAGCTTGTCGCTATAGTTACAATATATAATTTCTTTGCTAATGTGAATCCTTGAATTCTCTAGTGCTTAGTCAATCACTTTTTAGATGTCTCCATATAGAGAAAATGTGTTTCCTATACAAAATGTTGTCTGTCATGGCTGGGCAGTCTATAAAACTGCTGACATGCATCAACATCTCTCCCTAGCTTAGCTGAACAGAATACTTCAAGTGGAAGAGCAAGAGAATCCAACTTGGAGTGCTCATCCAGTGAAGACAAAAATCAACACTCACAAGACTGGACATCCTAACTTAAAGGAGAAGAGCAGCTTGTTTAGATGATCTTTGACAACTTTATCTAGGATGTTAGATGTGTTTCACATCACTGTCTAGCCAAGTAAAAGGTTTATTGTTGCAGCTGTGGCAACTACTGTCTTTGGCACCAGTGTACTACCAATTTGGATCATGAGGGTTCAAGCAGTTTTCTGACTTTCCCATTTTATAGGTGATTTTATATGAAACTTGTATCTTGGAGACTTATTTAAGCTCATAAATGGCAGCTGGTGTAGATAAAGATTGAAATTTTTAATAGAATTTCAATTAAAGATATAAAGTCAATATTTTCATGTCTAAAGGCACTTTCTCATTGCAAAAGTCTAACTATAAGGATATTTTTGTGAGTTTTATAACAACTGTTCTTTAATCTGAATAATTTGGGGGGGGCAGGGTTTAGGGTTTTTTTAGTTGACCTATAAAATTTCCACTGAAACTGTTCAGTCTTCCAGCTTGAAACTCCCTCTGAAAAAGAATGTATGTATTGTTTCCATGGATACAGATAGAGCTCTAGACCAGTGGTCTACGAAACTTTTTGATCGTGCACCCACCAGTAAAAAAAATAAATTTGAGCATGCACCACCAGTATCTGTATATTTATTTATAAATTATATACATGTACTACTGTATTATGCACATTAGAAAACATACCCCAAAATGGAAATTAAAGATGAGATAAAGATGAAGTAAACACTATTTTTACACTTCATTAACAGTACAAAAAAAATTTTCTCCTCACACCCCAATGGATTGTCTTGCACACCTCTCTGGGTTTTCGCACCCCACTTTGGAGACCACTGATCTTCCTATGGGTGGATGCCCCAGGCAGTATAAATAGGAGATCTAAAGGCCAGGGAGAAATTATCTATGAAGAGTCCTGCAAGATTTCTGATGTACATGTGTTAAAGACTGCATTTAAAGCAGGTGCTTGTGCCAGGGTTTGATCCCTGTATGTGAAGTAGATTGATTTGTCTTCCTTTCCTACTTCTATATGTCTTGGACTGTGAGTAGGAAAGGCCAAATGAAGTTTTATAACATTCAGTGGTCTGGTTTACAGTGGCTTTTCACACCTATGAAACAACTGAATATTTGGCTTTATTGCAGAAGCTAGGAGTACTTGCTTTTTTAAAATTTTTGTCACTTATAGGATATCTTGATTCTGTTAATTCAGACTAAAACATTCTGATGTTTGATTTTGCTGCTGATACGTTTTCTCAGTGCTGGTATTCAAATCCATGTAATCTGTGTTTGGGACATCTTTGCAGGCTTTTTCTAGGTATTCCTGTATAAACGAGCTTTCATCGTCTTTAAGGGAAACTTAGAAAACTCGGTGTTCGGGTGTTGGTTTTTTCCTTTCAAAAGTTCATTGTCCAGCAGGAATTTATTCCACAACCAGCTTAGGAGAGAACAGAGGGATCTGTGGTACACTCTTTAAAAAGGGGGGAAAAAAAAAAAAATAAAATAAAATGCTATAGTGTAAACCAATGAGCCAAATCATATTTATAAGCTCAAGGAAGGGGGAGCTTTGCTGGTCTGTCCTAATCTTAAGACATGATCGTTCTAAATTTCTTTTTGAATGTGAACTTTGTAGCTTTACTATGTACTGTCCCAGGAGTTAGCTTGCTTGTCCTTCTCCCTTA